TTTATGATCCACGTCATGTATTCAGTTTCGCTGTGGGAGTTCTTCCAGTTTGTCCAAAAGTCTTCTAATCAGGGCTCTATAAATAAAGAACCACGGCAGATGTGTAAGGCATTAAGGTATAAAGCATGATTTTTTTCTCTTACTGTATAAGCTACAACTCCCGAGGTGCCCCACCACTAAAACATCCAATCACCGAGCTTGTTGACTAATCGCAAGGCGGCGTCTACAAACGATAGCTGAGGATTATGGGTAGCTGTTACAAATTGTTTTGTGAGACTGGGTTGGAACGTGCAACCACAGAGATCAAATGTGGCAAATATTGCTGACAAACAACTTTGAATAAAGGTTGAATAAAGATCAAATATAGGTAATACAAGTTACTTAACAAATCTAAAGCATACGAGTAAACTGGCTGCATTTTCTTGATTTAGGTCTAGGAACACAGTAGTCAGCGTACTGCCTGCTACTCATGTAGGAAAGCAGTTTAGTGGCTCATTTAAATTCCACATGCTAGAAGGACTTCTGCTGTAAGTCTGGCTTTGCTCCGAATTGTGTCTCATGCCACTGGTTAATTTGTCCAAATGTCCTTTGCATTCCCCCGCAATCTTTTCTTGACTGGGAGCCTTTTACAAAACATCTGAAAAAAATAGTTGTTTTGAGAATCCGGTTCTGGTAAATGACCTTAATATGATGCATAAAGAAACAATTTAAAATTGCCATCAAACTGAAACCTGATCGCATGAGCAGTAGCCACCAGTATGATATTTGCCATTAGTTCTGGGCAGCTCAAGCTCATGTGTTACAAATCTTTTTTGCCGCAGTCTATATAATTAGCTGTAATTGAGTCCCTCAAAATGTGTTTCTTCTGGGACATCTGGCTTCGAAAACTTCAACCTTCCCATAACGGCCCAGCATTGAGCTACACTTTCATTTTTAAAACTGTATGGGTGGCAAAGGTAGTAGGACCAGGCAAAAATACATTTTAGGAAATGGCCTTCATATGCGAAAAGGTTTAAGTTATTATGACTAAACTACATACAATAATATAAACATATTTCTTGAAATAACATTTCCTAATTGATTTTACAAAGACAACATCTCAATCTCCATGCGTAGAGGGGAGTTTTCTTGTAAACCAAAAACGTTTTACATTCTACATTCTTCAGAAAGACAAAATGCAATTGCTACTAAGCAAATGAGAATTATTGAGGTCTTACAAACATGCTTAATACATATTCATCTCTCTATCAAGTCGTAAAGTTTGTTTATTTTTTCCCCAGAAGCTTTTGTAAATGTAGATTACACTCCAAAGTCATCGTTTTAAAAGTTTCATAATTTGCAATTGTGATTTTCTTAATTATGGATGCTTTGATAGCTTTCAATTTTTTTCGCCAGATAGGATATGTCTTATAGGTTAAAATGGGCACACCTTGCTTAGGCACCAAACCAGCATGAAATACTGAGTTGCACAAGCAATGGGACTGTTAACTAAAAACTGGTTGAGGCCAGCAGTGGTTAATATACTTGATTTGCTATACACCTGAAGTTAAAAATAGTAAAAACAATACTTGTGAACTTGTTTTTTCAATTAACTACTTATGAGGGAACAGCAATATAGAAAACATCAAATATCACAATATTTTGCATCTAATACCTCAATATCAATATAGCGACAGTTCTTTACCGTGGCCTTTAACAACATTTGTACACAATATTTTCACCAGATTTAAGATACATAAATATCAGTAATATGGATAGGGCTTAGTGGGCAAAGGCAAATAAAACAGCTGGAACAGTCTGTTAGTTTGGAAAATTGCATCATTAAACTGTATAGCAGGCTTTAAAAACATAAAAAGTACCATATTTACAAAATGTACAATTGATATACTTATAATATGTTATTTAAAGATTAAAAAGAAGTTTGAATTACTTGCAGGTAACTGTTGCAAGAATAAGAACACATAACGGGAGGTTACGTATTGTAACCCTAGTTATATAAGCACAGGCGGAACCCTCTACTGGACTCTATGGGTACTACCCTCAATCATGCTATGCGAGCATTCACCTACTGAGATATCTATAAACGTAGCCGGCCCCTCGGGGCGGGCCTACCTGAATGCGCGTGCAAGCCCACCGTATATAAGGTCACGTAGTCTGCCTGCATCGAGCAAAATGGGACTGCTCTTCTTCAAATTGACTGCAATCTACTTGGATCAATTGGGCTGTGTTTGCCCCTTCCCTGGACCTGGCCATGACTATGAGGTCGCATTATAAAACCCTCATGCCATGGTCGCGAAGCGGCTGAAGCGCTGTGGCCACACATTTGCTGAACGTGCGTGGGGATAGGGAGTAGCCAAACGGTAGTCTGTTGTACTCGTAGGAACCCTGTAAGGCAAAACGCAAATACTTTCTGTTCTTTGGAGCAATTTTCGACATGAAAGTAAGCGTTCTTCAGGTCGATGGTTGTGAACCAATCGCCCTGCTGCCCTAGTACCAGTAATTGGTTTACATATAGAACTTTTTGCAGGCAATGTGCTGATTCAGGCTGCGAAGATCCAGAATGGGTCTGAATTATCCTGTAATCTTGGGAACCAGGAAGTACATGGAGTAAAGCCCCTTCCATAAAAGGAAGATTGGCTCATGGGGGGCTGACACAGAAAGGGCCGATTTTCTACAGAGCCGTCATAATGTCGTCTTCACACAGACGGTGAGGTGTGTTTTCTGCAACATGCCGGCCATAATGCGGCCATAATGCGGCCATAATGCGGCCATAACCCGCATAGTGCTTTGACAGCACTTCCTGCGGTTAATCACACTCACATGCGCGCGCCCACGGGCTGCCTCCTTTACTGGAGTTACAACTGGGGCGGCGAGTGGGGAATTGTGTCTCCTAATGGTTGCCCAATTAACATCGTATGAAACGGATCTTGCCGATTTCAACGAGACGTTATGGGGAAATGTGGAATTGTGGAGAAAGATGACTCACTCTGGGATGAATAGCCGCTTTCACAACAAGTACTTTGCCGTACTTAGTGCCCAGCACTTAGTGCCAGCACTTAGTACCCCCATGGAACTAAGTACAGATCGCGTTCACACCGGAATAAGTTCCCCTAGGGAAGATTACCCAAATGAAGCCGCTGACGTCACTTCTTCTGCTTTGGGTTTACTGGCAGGCCGCAAACCACTTCACAGCGTATACTGCCACCCGAAGTTCCCGGCCGGAAGTGCCCGGAGTTGGAGACCGGCTTCAGTAGAAGCTGCTGGGACTCCCATCAGCTTCTACTGAAGCCTTCCGAGTAAATCGCTAGAACGCCGACACCTCCTCATCTCTCCACCGCTCCCATGTTTTTTTTGTGTTGCCATAAGTTATTCTCTCTCTGTTGGTGTGCGGGGCTAATGCTAATGCTAATAATGCTAATGCCAGCAAATACAATGGCGGCTTCACAAAACTTTCCAGAGTTTTACGGGGCGTGGTTTGCAATTCGCCCAGCCAATCGAAATTGGTACTTTTTTCTCCCCAGGATAGTACCAGCAGGCACTAAAAATGGAGGTAAAAGTTCTCGGAACTAAGTACTCTTTTTGGTGTGAACGCAAAATTCCAGGCACTATCAGAACTAAACGGGAAAAGTATGGGTAAAAGTACTCCGGTGTGAACGCGCCTAATGCAATCGTTTTTATTGAATGCATTTTTCACACACACATCACTCTAGAACTAGGGTTACAATACGTAATCCACCGTTCTTGCAACAGGGCCTGAATTTCTGTTGAAAGGAAACCTATCTCATCCTAGTATGATAGATTTGCCTCTCTTATGCCCGTAAATGGAGGAGGGACGCTGCAAAACTGGAGTGAGTAACCCAGTCTCAGTGTCCTGTCCATCCACTCTGTCAGTACACAGCTGAGCTTTCATTCCCCATAAAACTGTGTTTAGCAGCTAAGAAGCTGTAGTACTCTCTGGTGGCCTACTCCGCTGCCAAACCTTCCATAAAAGGAAGTTTGGCCCATGGGGGGCTGACAAAGAAAGGGCCGATTTTCTACTGAGGTCCTTGAACGCACCACGGCACGCTCTCGTGGGGCCGCGGCTCCGTCATAATGCTGTCTCTTTGAAACGGACATTATGGGGAAATGTGGAATTGTGGAGAGAGATGAATCTTACTCTGGGATAAATGCAATAGTTTTTACTGAATGCATTTCTCACACACACACATCACTCTAGAACTAGGGTTACAATACGTAACCCACCGTTCTTCTGTGGAGGTCCCTGAACGCACCGCGGCCACTCTCACGAGAAGTCCTCGTCATCCTCCGCCCCGGCAAACGGAGCTATCCGCCCCGCTGGAATGGTGAACGTGAATGGCACCGCCTCGGCCATATCCTGGTCCCCCAAACACTCGAAGCAGAGATGGTGGGGATCGGCGCCCGATATTAAGCCAGGGCACGAAGGACAGGCCCGGGTCTCTAGAAGTGGCGACTCCATGAAGGTATGATAACTCTTTCTTCTTTTTTCAAACGTTTTACTTTCTCTGCTTCAGTTGTTGCTCGCTCGCTGAAGAGAAAAGGATGACAGTCAGGAGGCGTGACCGCGAGCGCATTCAGGTAGGCCCGCCCCGAGGGACCGACTACGTTTATAGATATCTCAGTAGGTGAATGCTCGCATAGCATGATTGAGGGTAGTACCCATAGAGTCCAGTAGAGGGCGGAGCCTGTGTAAGATATAACTGTCTTTAAAGCATTTCATATTTTAGCATTCAGCATAAACTGAAAATGAAATGGTAAATTGTAATGTCTCTTCATGTGGTCTTTGCCTGGGTACAAAAATAATAACTGCATTTGTTTATTTAAAACAAAGGCAGTTGAAAAACTTTTGGAAACAAAGAGAGCGAATGGAAAGAGAAAGCCTAACCTACATAGGCATGAAAAGAGTAAGGGCTAGTAAATAAGGAGAAGATCTGGTCGGTCCTGCTATGGCCATATAGTGTGATGAAAGATAAAGCACTGACCTGGGCTCCATCTCTCAGCTTCAGGATGCACTCCATGGTGTTGATGGTAATGACCACAGGCTCCGAGCCCAGCTTGGTCCAGGGTACGTGGATACGCAGCTCATGGATATGACCACTCATGAATGTAAAGGGCAACTTCAACTCCTATTAGTATGCAAAGACATATAAAAAAAGAAACAAATAGCTATTTAACTATAGTTGGAATAATATTTACCATAGTATTACATCTGCCATGCAGACAACATTGTAAAGACATGTGGTGATATGACTGCTGAGGCTTCAAGAACATTTGGATCCTTCATCCAACCAATTCTAAACAATTGTTTGAAGCTAATATTTGAAGACAAAAGGATAGTAAAACAAGAGTTACATATTGCATATTGGTCATGCTTTTTTCAAAACCAGTCAGATTTTCTCAGAGGCAGACAAATCATTGTTCTTCATCTTGAACCACTCTATGTGAGAACAAGGTCCATGAAACCAGACTGCCTACGGACAAGCTTTACATGATACCTATGTAAAGTATGTCTGCATTTTATTTGAACTCATGGCAGATTGATCTAATCCAGAAACTACAAGTATAAAAAAATAAAACTGTGTCAAAATAAAACTGCAGGAAATCTATCAAACTGCTACAAAAAGAATTACAATAAAGATTCTGTGTTTATGCCGGGCTGATTTGCATCGCTCCTTTTTTCTGATTGTAGTCCAGGAAATAGAGTGTTACTAAATACACATATATACTGTACCTAAGGAGTAGACTGAATGGAAAAATGGGTAAGTGGGCTACATGCTTAATCTAATTCTGAAACTATTGTAAAAACATTGTGCAATGTAAGCACTGTCATATTGGGTGCTTCGCCATGTTAACATTTCTAATTGTATAATGAAGACATTCCTTTAGATATCTTAACTGTATGTTGTATTTTCCTAGATGAGCATTGTTAAATAGGCTCTATTCTACTTTTTGGGGTTTTAGCTCTCCTGTTAATACACACATCTTCCTATGCTCAAACTTAAACACATCATCAGTGTTGTTTCGTGGAGTGTTTCGGGTCTTGCAGCAGACACCCTCTTCCAGGCGACTCGGCCAAGGTTGATCAGACCTCAGCCTGTGTTCTACAGGTTTTTGTGCATGTAAATGGTCTGCAAAGGCTAAAATCCCTGTGTTCCCTCCAGAAGGAGTTTCTTTCCTACACACTCCCCCCCACCTGCCTGAAGTGCCTCCATTGGAGACCTTTGTTTACTTCAGTAACATAATGACATCAATGTGTTACACTTGCACTTCTAATGGCTAGTGTTTCAACACATTATACGCTAAGGGGCGGGACATTTCTAACACATCTCTAAGCGGTTGACCTATTACAACAGAGCCAGCCAGCTAACCAATCAGAGCAGACTGGGCTCTGATTTCAGACAGAGGGTGAAAAGAGGTGCTGCAGCACAGGCAGTATGAGAAGAATAAAGAGCTTTTTGAACATTAAAGCATGAAGACATGCACAGTACAGCCACTAAATATAAACCTGAAAAAAAACATAATAGGGCCCCTTTAATAAACAAAAGCCATAAACAAAATGTAAATCAACTGCAAAAATTGCTACAAAAATAATATAATATGAATGACATGATAGGAGGAAAAGACTTCAATCCTTTGCAGTAAATATTTTCTAATAAAATATGCAGGAAAGATACATTAGTTTTAGTATATGACTTTGATTCCCTTATAATCATTAACAATCAAGACACTAATGGTAATCCGAGAAACTGTGTGGCTGGAGCAATATGGACCAGATATTATGTATAGACATGAAAACATTTCTCCCACAAGCTGCACTGAGCACTAGCTCATATCTATAATTTGTCAGAACTTAATGACATTCAAGCAAATAAACCATCATGTGCCATTAAATGAGAAAATGAAATCTCTGTCATACTAATCAGTCTTGTCTTAGTCTTGAAATAGTTTAAGAGTGCAGAGGATATATGGTACCTGTTCCAGCACATCCAGCTTCAGGTCCAACTTGCTGAGCACCACATCTCCTCCCCAGAGAGACAGCTGCAGGTCAGATGGCTTTAGATTCTTAATATACTTGTTAACATAGCTCATCAGGAGTGGTGTAACATAGGACTCCAACATCTTGTGCTTGTCCTGAAAAGGCATCAAATATTGAACAACACAATTTGTCATTCAACACTGTCTTTGTACACAACACATATATATTGCACATTTTTGCACACATAATGATCTGTATTATATTTTAAAGCCCTCCACTTTAAAATATAATACACTGTAGTTTGCGAAATATCGTCATATATTGTCCTAAGTGTTTTAGTTTTTGTTCAGCTTTTAAGGTTCTAAAATGTAAAGGTGGTGTAAATACTTGTCTTTATTCTTTTTTAATGCTAAATAGTTTCTTTAAAATACTTATTTTTATTATCTTTATATACGTTGACCTACTATTGAAACTTATTTTATTTTTCTTATTGTTTATGTTTGCACCACCAGACACAAAAGCAAATTCCTTGTATGTGCCTGGCAATAAACCTGATTCTGATACTTCAATCGCCTTAATAAAATGCTTGTTTAACCTAAACAACAGTACTGTGGATATCAGCTCACTGGAAAGGCTTATGGGACACTCACAGAGCCACAATTAATGAAAGTAAGTCAAGTAAGACTTGTAATAACAAGTCAAAATATCCATTTGAAAAGAAGCTTATTAAAAATGTCATCATTGTTCCTTGGCCCAAGGCCGAGACAAATAGAGACTGTGCCTTTGAGGCTGTAGCTCTCAAACTTCTGAAATCTCTCTGAAAGGCAGAAGACATTTTGACAATTCAGAGTTAAAGAAAACACTTTTACAAACTTAAAAGCACAAAATTAAAGCACAGCTGAATTTAACAGAGCAACTTTAATTTCATGGTCTTGGTTTAGACCCTTTTCACAGAGGAAATCGGCATGTCAAAGTCGGAAGAGCAAACGTGAGATTCATAATGTTAACAATGGCTCAATTCCATTAGAATTCCAAGTAAGCTCTTCCACTGAGCTAACTATTTACACCTGTGCTACTACCGCATGTCCAAATGTGATAAAGAGAAGTTACCCTAAATAAACAAGAAAATAAATATTAAAAATCCATTATTGCAGTGGCCAAATGTATTAAAAAGCCAACATGTTTAAAACAAATGTAGGTCTTTGTCAGGGCAAGTAAAAAACAGAACAAACGGGTGTGGCCTCACCTACCCGGATACTACATGGCAGGTGAAAGAAAAAATAAACAACACAAAATACCATGAGGTAATAAGAAAAACATATGATACTAAGATAATCAATACGATATATATTTTACAAACAACATGTAAAGGGCAGTACGAGAGCCACTTGTTATCAATATGTTTTTGTTTCAGCATGCCATGTCTATTTCAACATTTGGTCTTTGAGAAATGTTATTCACGCTAAGCAGAGAAAGAATGGGAATTCTGTTCACATGAGCTGCATTTCAAGGCTTTTATTTTCGCTGTTGACTAATAAATGTCAGTGGCAATACTTATTAACGTATTGATTTACATCAGCGCTTGAATTAGCCAGCTTGCTAATATGAATCCACTTTTTATGCGAGCGACTATAAAAGAAACGCCAGCGGCAGTTAGAAACTCCATTTCCAAACACCGTACAATGTAACTAAATAGAACGTAAGGGTTAAATGAAGGAGAGTCGTGCTATGTAGTAAGAAATGTAACTTGTGCGGAGTAGCTAGTTAGCCAGATAGGCTAGCTTTGCACTCCTGTCAGTCTAGTGATACACAGTAAAGCAGGGAAGCTAAGCTAACTGCTCCGAAAAAGTCAAGCTAACTTCGTTTGGCTTCATAAAACGTACAGCCACAAGTAAACATAGAGAAGCCAGTGCTTACCACGTGTCTCCTGTTGCTATACCGTGAACTCGATGTTTAATATAACATTATCATCCTGTAAATAGATGTTAGCTACATCACTCCACGGCTTCAGCTGAAACGTCATCAGTAAACAACACCACCGCGGCTTCCGTACATCTAGTGTTGCCTTTGGTAATGTGGGAATTTTTCCAATCGCTCTACGGTGGTCTTCAAACCTGCACCCCGATAATAAAGAAACGGCTGTATCTGTGCCATTTCATTTGAAAACATATAGTTTAACATTTATAATGTTTCAATTCAACTCATCAATAGCCTGTTTTAGATAAATACGTGCTAGTAGTCCCACAAGTGACATCTCCGATAAAGGATTTCCGAGGAGCATGGGAAGGTATCAATTCACGTAAAATTCGTCATAGCTTTCACCCGACCCTAGGCCTTACATGGCTGTGGAAACTCACATTTGTCAAGACACTAGACAGGGTCGGGTGCGTTTAATAGGCTTGTATTCCGTTTTAGTTAATAGTTTATTGGGAAAAAAACTAATCAGTACCACAATTGAAAATAAATTCCGATAATTTTCCGTTACTTTGGGATTACGTCAATATCAAATCGAATGCAATTCAAAATAAATACAAAAGGAAAGAAATGTCAATTGGCCTACTACTACTATAGCCTATGTAAGACAACAGAACAATCCATCTTTCCTATTTCTAAAAGATGTACCAGTAATCTGATTACGTATTTTGTAATGTAAGTGATTACAGTAACCGATTGTGTATCCTTTTTACGTAATCCCGTTACTGCTCAAACCTTAAAAGTAGATTACATTTCTCAATGGGCGGCTCCTAAGTAAGCTTTTCTTGAAATTATTTAATTATCTATGCAAAAAACAATAACAACAGAAAAGAAAAGCAGAGATTCAGAACGTGTAGGCCTATGTTAAAGTCAATTAAAGTAATCTTTATGTCCCAGGTGATGTATGCTTTAAACAGTGTTTTGGTCATCTAACCGTTATGATGGAATGGCATTATCATGGTCAAATAGCCTGATCAACTGATGCCCATGCACTGAAATGTATAGGCTAGATATGAACTGTTATTAATATAGCCTACTGCGTTGGGTAAAATAAAGCGGCGGGAAATGATCATGCCACATTCTGAAATCGAAATGATATTCTGCAGCATCACCTTGGAAATTACAAGTGCATATAATGCATATATATTATGTTTGTCTCGATAACATATGCAATTATATGCATTCAAATATTACATATGGCATAATTGTGGTGACAAGTCTTTACTTCAAAATCAAACTTGTACACATGTTATTTCTGCGGCCATTCGGTCATGTCAAATCATATCTCTCTTTCTGAGGATTTCCGTGGCTGCCAGTTTTAAAGTGTTTTTAAGACAATATAGGCCTACTATAATAACTAAGAAGAGTTCATTTGTCACAACCTGTCAGTACAAATACATCTAAATAACTGCCAAAACAACATGGTCTTTCACTTGAATAATGAGCAATTGTTTAGGTTTTAGCAGGGATGTATCAGATTGTTGCGCTCAGCACAGCCCGGGTCAGGAGATCATGGAGGCAGCGGAGCCTTTCCCTGTCCGTTAGCCTGCTGAGTACACAGTCCACAGGCCTGTGTGTGTGTGTGTGTGTGTGTGTGTGTGTGTGTGTGTGTGTGTGTGTGTGTGTGTGTGTGTGTGTGTGTGTGTGTGTGTGTGTGTGTGTGTGTGTGTGTGTGTGTGTGTGGGTGTGCGTGCGTGCGTGCGCGTGCGTGCGTGTGTGTGTTATAGTCACAGTCTGGCATTACCGTTTATTTGAATGCATTATAGCCTACGAGTTCAAATTCAGTAGGCGATAGCATTACAATTAAAATGACGTAGTTTTTTATTTTTTCCAAGTTGAAATAAAAAAGAATTAAACAGGCTTAACGAATTGTAGCATATAGAGTAGTGAAAATAATTCACATTTGAAGAAATTATTATATCCAATGGGAGCATTGGCTTAATGAAAGGACGCTGAGGAATCTGAATATGATTTAATATAGGCTAGTGATGGGTAATTTTAATAACTTGTTCTCGAGTGTTGCACACATGTGTGTCACCTTGTTTGTATTACATGGTATCCTTTTTCTGAGCTGCACATTATGATGGTAATGTCCTGTTCGAACTTCGAAGAGAAGCGTTATGAGAGGACTTGTTAAAACAATATCAATATTTTTCTTTTTCAATGAAATGTGTATAGGCTTCACCAGTTAGGACTATGGTTGACGCAGTCTGAGTTCATAATTAAACTGCAGGCTTGTTGTCGTTTATACATACTTGATTAATTGGTGTAACTATGCTATAATATGAAACTTTATAAAATAATAAATAATAAAATAGAATATATATTTATATAAAATATTAATGAATAACTTTCTCAAACAATGATTTGCAAACCAAATACAATACCTCAGGTTTTTGTCCTTATTATCTTCCATAATCTTCATTATTATATGACGTGGCCCACAGTCCATCTTTCATCAGTTGCCTCGTTTTCAGGATTTATTTTTCGGTGATTAATAGTTGTTGTTTTTCTCGGATTGAAGAGATTGCTGGAGAGGTTTCACATTGTTACCTTTACATTTGGAAAATATTCAGAAAATCCTGCAGTTACCTGAACGAGAGCGGTTTTGAAACACCTGTTGTATACTCAACCCCTTATTTTCGAGCCAGTTTAATATATATTCTCAAACAGTTAATTGCATTGTCAGGTGAACACACTATTCCAGTAGCCTGTGTGCCTGAAGGCCAACTGGCCAAGACACAGAAAGGCAGAGAAAGGAGGGGGTGTTATTTCTCTGCACCGATTATATACATTCAGGGCTGCCCCTGGCCAACTTGTGGCCCCAGGAAAAGTTATGTGATGAGGAGCCTCGCAGCGGCAAAACTGTGGCCCGCTTAATTGCGCTGCATTTGCGCATAAACTGAGGTGCGCCGCATTTGCGCTTCAGATGAGGCTCCCTCCGCAAAATGAGGTTCCCTCCACGAGGTGAGCCTCCCTCCGCACGATGAGGCTCCCTCCGCAAGGTGAGGCCCCACGCAGTCTGCGTGATCTGCGTGTAGGGATGGGCGGCCCGGGCCTGTATATATTAAATAGGCCTAGTATAGATATTCGGACACCGGGCATAGCTATTAATATGTAAGCGCATTCTGAATTTAACTGATCAAAGGTTAGTTGGATCAAATCCAAACATGTACATCTTTTATAAATCGCATTTATACAAAACAGTCTTAACCGATGCTTAACCATCTCCCGGAAACGTATTCTGTATAATAATTATAATGTGAAAATAAATAATTATTTTTAAACTATAGCCCACTTAAATTAGCTTTGACTCGAGTTGTGCGGCTGCTCAGATAAGTAGCATGATGTTTATATAGGCCTAAATTAAAAATGTGCTCAACAACAATTGGTAGAGGGTTGATGTAGGTGTAAAATAGGGTCTAAAAAACGAAATGAAATCAGTTGTATATCATTTTTTTGTTGGTTTTGTAATTGATGGATTATTGAAGCCCAATTAATTTTCCCCAAAAAATATAATCCGTCAGCCAGGTCTCATCTCCTTCGGTTAAATTGTGTCTTTGCGCTGGAGACTCTTTCTGTCGCTTTGAAAGTCCCGACATCACAGGTGATGCAGATACAGATGTGATGAAGCTTCTAATGAGGCGAAGAGAACACGAATGAGCCTCTAAGTCCAGGAACTAGAATAACTGAGCTCTATAATTAAAATATTTACACTCAACACTTAAAGGGGGATGGTGTACATCTGTGTAAAAATCGTAATATGATTTTCATTTTTATTAAATAAACATTCGGATTGTTTACCATAATCAATTGAAAAGACACATCATTTTGCATTCCATACTCTAGCTGCTAACGGATATATTCTGCTGTATACTGTAAAACAGAAAAATAACAGCTCTCACTGGCTGTAAACATAGGCAGTCATTGTTCATAGGAATCGATTTTACCTAAATATTGCTTTTTGGGCTTTTACACTGTGAAGCAGATCATGTAAAAAAAAAAAAACAGGCATATGCAAATGTATCATGGAAATATTTAATTATACAATACAATTTAACATACTTTAAACTTATGACTGTTTTTTGACAAGTTTATAATTTCAAGGTAAGACAGAACATAAAAAAACATTATGTACAGGGTCTGGATATTTACAGGTGGTCTGAAAGCATGGCGCTTGAGATGTAACCACATCCCACTTTGAATAGTGCGGCAGTAAACGTGTCCTGATTTGGAGATTGTCTTTGAAAAAAAAGTCGTTGACTTGTCTTGCTGCTTTTTGTCCATTATTATTTTGTTAGTCTGTCCAGGCTAGTAGTCCTGATGTGGGCTGTGCGTCAAACTGTGCCGTCGCAAGTCACAGTTGCGCCGAAACACCTTTCCGCAGCGGCCACAGCTGTAGGGCTTGATGTCTGTATGGGTGAGAAGGTGAGTTTTCAGGTTACTTCTTTGATTAAAGGTTCTTCCGCATGTGGGGCATTTGTGGGGAGACTCCTGTTTAGATTTGAAGCAAGCAAAGGATTATTCCCTTTAATTGTATAGAACGTCTATAGCAAAGCTTTCATTCATCTCAATTTGTTCACTATTGCGTCAAATATAGCGCTCACTGATTTACACAAAGTTTAACACAAATTGTAGGCTACTTGTCTCTCATTTTATTTATTCATTTTAATTGGTAATTGGCCATACGAAACTGTCCAATGAGAGTGTGAGCCCCATGTATGCAGTAGACAGTGAATTATTATCATAAGGTATCACATAGTTTAGTGAGTATAAAATCATGGAGACTGTTAATATGTCCAGCTTACCTGCATATGTAAGGTTTTATGGACGGCTAGGGTTCGAGACTGACAGAATCCCTTCCCACATTCTTGACATTTGAATGGTTTTTCCTTGGAGTGGATGTATCTGTAAAACAGAAATGACACTTAATCAAATGTCTGCTCAGGCATGGATTCTCTTGTAGCGGTTATAAACCCCAGTCACAGGGCGAAACATCTCTACTGTGCAGCATAATGCGTAAAAGACCTTTAGCGCCCTCGTGTAGAACTATTTGGCAAAC